CAAACTGGACAGTCTCTACGTAAAAGAATAAATGGACACAAATCAGATGTCAAGAATGATAACATTCATAAACCAGTCGGAGAACATTTCAATCTCTCTGGTCACGCAATTACAGACATGAAGGTCGCTATCTTACAACAAAAAAACTTCAAATCCAGACTCCAGCGAGAAACTGCTGAATTGGAATTCATTTGCAAATTGGATACTATTAATTTAGGCTTAAATAGAGACTGGGAGTGGCTAAGTCATTATGCAAAGTAGCCTATTTCCCCTTGTTTTTTCCTACCACCCCCCCCCCAGACGTTCTGGTTAAACTTGGATTTATGCTGGAAATGGCCCACCTTGATTATCATACACATTGTAAGGAGAGTGGTCAGTTTGGATGAGCTATTGCCAGCAGGAGAGTGAGTTTGTGTGTGTGTGTGTGTTTTGGGGGCGGGGAGTGAGAAGACCTGGATTTGTGCTGGAAATGGCCCACCTTGATTATCGTGCACATTGTGGGGAGAGTGGTCGCTTTGGATGGGCTGTTACCATCAGGAGAGTGAGTTTGTGTGTGTGGTTTTTGGAAGGGGGGGGTGAGAAAACCTGGATTTGTGCTGGAAATGGCCCAACTTGATTATCATACACATTGTAAGGAGAGTGATCACTTTAGATAAGCTATTACCAGCAGGAGAGTGGGGTGGGAGGAGGTATTGTTTCATGGTCTCTGTGTGTATATAATGTCTTCTGCAGTTTCCACAGTATGCATCCGATGAAAATAGTTTCATGGTCTCTGTGTATATAATGTCTTCTGCAGTTTCCACAGTATGCATCCAATGAAGTGAGCTGTAGCTCACGAAAGCTTATGCTCAAATAAATTGGTTAGTCTCTAAGGTGCCACAAGTACTCCTTTTCTTTTTAGTAATACCAGGGTACAAAATATATCGGAAGGACAGAACAGGTCGGGCTGGTGAGGGAGTGGCATTATAAGTGAAAGAAAGAGTAGAATCAAATGTAATAAAATTGGTAAATTAATCAAACTGTACCATAAAATCTCCATGGATGGAAATTCCATGCTCTAATCATAAGACTATAGCAGTAGTAGTAGGATATACCACCGACCACCTGACCAAGATAGTGATAGTGACTGTGAAATGCTCAGGGAGATTAGAAAGGCTATAAAAATAAAAAAAAACTCACTAATAATGGGGTATTTCAACTATTCCCATATCAACTGGGTACATGTCACCTCAGGACGGGATGCAGAGATAAAGTTTCTTGGCACCTTAAAGTACTGCTTCTTGGTGCACCTAATCATGGAACCCACGAGAGAGGCAATTCTTGATTTAGTCCTAAGTGGAGCACAGGATCAGGTCCAAGAGGTGAATATAGCTGGACCGCTTGGTAATGGTGACCATAATATAATTAAATTTATTATTAATTTGAAAATATGTTTTTATATTTTTAGATAGATTTATATTTTTAAATGATGCTAAAGCTAGTGTGGTCTCTTGCTGCATTTCCTATCTTTTCCACATAGTGGAGTAGTTTGCTCTCGTGCTCTTAATAACGTCTCTTTGAAAAACTGCCAACTGTCTTCAATTGTTTTTCCCTTTAGACTTGCTTCCCATGGGATTTTATGTGCCAGCTCCCTGAGTTGGCTAAGGCATGCTTTTTTTGCAACCCATTGTCTTTATTTTGCTGTTCTCCCTTCTACCATTCCTTAGAATCATGGACACTATCATTTCATGATCACTTTCCCCCAAGCTGCCTTCCATTTTCAAATTCTCAACCAGTTCCTCCCTATTTGTCATAATCAAGTCTAGAACAGCCTCTCCCCTGGTAGCTTTCTCCACCTTCTGAATTAAAAAAAAAATGTGACTTTTTAGCTGTATAATGAACTCTTCTTAATATACTGCCAATTTCCAATCCCATTTTTCTGTCACAAATATTCCTCCCAATAAGTGTTGTTGATAATTTGTCTCATCTTTGGGTAATTAGCCCTTTGGAAGCATTAAGTACCTACAGATATTACTGGTTGGGAACTGTTCTCTGTTTCTCTATTTCAATGTCATCCGTTCCATTTTTTATTTTGTTCTCCTGTATCATATGCCCCCTTCTTTGTCTCTTCCCTAAACTAAACAGTCCCAAACTTTTCAGTCTGTCTACATAGGGCATCCTCCCTGATTCTCACATCTCCAGAAATTCCTTTTCTATCTGCTATACCTTTGATAGAGACTGGGTGACCAAAGCTGAGCACATGTCCAGAGCAAGTTATTCCCCATCCCATTCTTTAGAAATCCGAACGTTGTCTTTGTTTTGGCAAAGGTTTGGATTTTTTCCCTTCTCATATTTTGAGCAACTGTGTGAATGGGGCTCTCCCTACAGTATGGACTCTCTTGCCTGGTTTCATTGCATTAAGGAACAGTGAGGGCTAACCAGTATCTACACTAAGGTTTCCTGCTCGTGCCTATTAAGATTTCCCACAACACGGCATGTAGGATATACTGACTCATGGAGCACTATAGCATATGGCGCATATTCAAATATATAATTGGCATTAGTAGGATCAGTTGTTCATAATTCATTTTTCTGACTAATGAAAATGTCATTTCTCAGTGTGTGAAGAGTGACCAATCTGCTTCATCCATGAGAACAGCCTCCTGTAGTGAATTGAGTGTCTCATATTAACAATATTAACAAGGCTAACAGAGGGAGTTTGCCTGGGATCTGTTTGAGAGGAGGTACGCAAAGGGCTGCATTAGGGAGGCTGTGTTGGTGAGTATCTGAGTGTCTGTTGTGGGGACAGTTTGACAGTTTGACCATGTGCTTGATTGATTGTTTGAAAAGTGCGAATTGGGAGTGCTTTGTTCCAGGTGAGCCTTGAGTGGGCCTGACTGTTATAAAAAGCCAGTCAGCTGTGAACCAGTGGAGCGGCGAACAGCAGAGAGGCTAACAGAGGGAGTTTGCCTGGGGAGAGCCCACTGAGGCTTTCATCTTACAGGCTTCTCTGAGTAGTTACTACAACTCAAGGTCAATCTGGGTGACCAGTCTGGATATGATTTTTATTGCCATGTCCTATATCCAGATCCTCAGGGCCATCTTCAGCCTCCCCACAAAGGACACCCGACTTAAGACTTTGGGGAGCTGCAGCTCCCATCTCTGTGCCACCCTACCCTTTTATATCCCAGCTCTCTTCTCCTCCCTCACTTACTGTTTTGGCCACCATGTGGCCCTGCAGTTCCATGTTCTCATGGCCAACATGTACCTCCTGGTGCCCCCCATGCTAAACCCCATCATCCACGGGGTAAGGACCAAACAGATCCGGGACAGGCTACTCCATGTCTTTACTCGTAAAGGGACTAAATTTTTCTCCTGGTGCACTGCCTCTCAGACTGAGCTCCATGCAGAGCTGGCTGATGACATGGTGCTGACCCCTCTTTCCTGAATCACTTACTGGGCAGTCAAAGCGACATTAAATCCTTTACTGGCCTTACTGTGCTGTGTTAGTCTGACAAACTGGGGAATTGTTCTGTGTACAACTCATTAACTCATTGGATTGCCACATTTCTAGTTGCTGGTAACTGGACCCATGAAGCCTCTGCCCTGCTTCTTTCCCCAATACTCTGCCCTGCTCCATATCTTCACTCAAGTCCCCACCTATTTCTTTGCTTCTTCCTTCGTGTCCCCATGGCCTTCTGCACTTCTTCCCTCTAGGCCCATCCCTCTTTTCCACCTTTTCCCCAATACCCAACCCTTGTTGTTCGCTCTTGTCCTCCCCTATTGCCATCACTCATTGGATTGTCTCCACCTTCCTTCCCCTGCCTGGGCTCCCTCTGCTCCGGGGCTAGGACTGAATCCCGACAAGGATCCTGGTTGTAGGTAGGAGGTGGTAATGGCTGAGCAGGGGCTGCTGTGGGTTAATGACCTGATGCCTCTCTGCACCCTGCAGTAACCGAACAATGGCAGGTTCCCTTTTTGACCAGACTTTCTGATTTACCTGACAATCATAAATGGCAGCCAGAAACAGAAGCCCAAAACAAGAGTGTTTGGGTAAAACCATGATGTGTGGAAACCCTATTCATTCATGTTTGATTGCATGAACCATCTGTATCCTTATGTCTTCGGGCTTTTCCTGAGCTCTTCACTCACATGCCTTGAGCTCAGGGGCAGGAGGCTGGGGCGGAGGCATCTGTCTATAAATAGGTTGGTCGTTTAAGACTCTCAGCCCTGAAGAGATCTCGTCCAGACAAAAGAAAAAAGTAACTGTAGTCTTGGTAAAACCAGTTTTGTCCAGCGTCTTTGTACAGGGGAGGACGTGGAAGAAATCGACCCTCCCCAGAAGGGGGAACAGAGAGAGGAGGTGGAATAGGAGACTCTTTGGTAGCAGGTCTTTGGCTGCAGCAGATAGACAGGCCTTCTGTTACTTTCCTTGTTGGGCCTGTCTTGTAGCAGGTGACTTCTGGGTATCCTTCTGGCTCTGTCAATCTGTTTCTTCACTTTACCACCCCCCTCCCCCGAAAAATGTTTTCACTTTCTCACTGAACCAGGTGTTTATCCAAAGCGGTCCACTTCTTTGACTATGGAATTGAGACTTTCTAGCTATCTAATAAATGCTTCTTCTAGAATTCCAATTTTCCCTCCCCAGTTTTCTGTCTATTTTTTTCCGATATTTTGCCTCAGCTTTGAGGAACTAGCTCTTGTGAAATTCAAAGTGTCTACAGGTTTCAGAGTAGCAGCCATGTTAGCCTGTATTCACAAAAAGAAAAGGAGTACTTCTGGCACCTTAGAGACTAACAAATTTATGTGAGCATAAGCATTCGTAAGCTACAGCTCACTACAGATATTACTGGTTGGGAATAGTGCTCTGTTTGACCATTTGAATGTAATCAGCTCCATTTCTTAATTTTCCCTATTCCTCTATCACACACCCCTTCTTTGTCTCTCTATCCAGGAATATTTACTGCGACCATCACCTGAGACCCTGGGAACAAACAGAAATTCCAGTGAATGTACAGTACATGCAGAAGACACGGTTCTGCCTCAGAGTTGGACACCTTCTCCCCTACTCCATGTCAGATTCCAACATAACTGACTTCACCAACCCCTCCACCTTCATCCTGTTGGGCATTCCTGGCCTGGAAGCAGCCCATGTCTGGATCTCCATCCCCTTCTGCACCGTGTACTCCATAGCCATCTTGGGGAACTTCACCATCCTGTTAATAGTGAAGAGGGAGCCAAGCCTCCACGGGCCCATGTACTATTTCCTCTGCATGCTGGCCATCACCGACCTGGTCCTGTCCACCTCCACCCTGCCCAAAACGCTGAGCATCTTCTGGTTGAATTCCAGGGAGATCAATTTCAGTGCCTGCCTCACCCAGATGTTCTTCATTCACTGCTTCTCAGGGATGGAGTCTGGGATCCTAGTGGCCATGGCTTTGGATCGCTACGTGGCCATTTGTCATCCCTTGAGACATTCCACCATCCTGAGAAACTCTGTGGTGGCCAAGATAGGCCTGGCCATGGTGCTGCGTGGAGGTATGCTTGTACTGCCCTTTCTCATCCTGGCGAGGCAGTGGCCATATTGTAGGACCAACATCATCCCACACTCGTACTGCGAGCACATGGTCATGGTGAAATTGGCCTGCGCAGACATCCGCATCAGCAATTACTATGGCCTCTTTGTGTTATTCTTTGTGACCGGTGTGGATGTGTTTTTTATTGCTATGTCCTATATCCAGATCCTCAGGGCCATCTTCAGCCTCCCCACAAAGGATGCCCGGATCAAGACTTTTGGGACCTGCAGCTCCCACCTCGGTGTCATCTTAGCCTTTTACATCCCCGCTCTCTTCTCCTTACTCACACACCGGTTTGGGCAGAATGTGCCCCTGCATTTCCACATTCTAATGGCCAGTGTGTACCTCCTGGTGCCCCCCATGCTGAACCCCATCATCTATGGGGTGAGGACCAAAGAAATCTGGGACAGGCTGCTCCATCTCTTTACTCATAAAGAGACTTAAAAGTTTTCTGCTGAGGCTCTGGCTCTCAGACTAAGCTCTGTCTGGAGCTGGCTGGTAACATGGTGTGGGGCCCTCTTCCCTGAGTCACTTCTTAGACAGTCAAAAAGACATTAAATGCTCTTTCCTGCTCTTACTGTGCTGTGTCAGTGTGACAAACAGGGGAATTGCTCTGTGTTCAACTCCTTAACCAATTGGGATGCCACCTTTCCAATTTCTATTAAATGGACCCCTGGGGCTCTGCCCTCTGCCCAATTCCTTCCTCCAGTGCCCAGCCCCTGCTCCACATCTCACCTCAAGCCTCCAACCATTTCTGCGCTTTACCACTCAAGGCCCCGCCCCTCTTGCTCACTCCTCTCCTTTTCTTCCACCATCGCTCGCCGAAACTCCTCCCTTTCCCACCACCCCAGCGGGGCTCCATAGGATCCGAGGCTGGGACTGGAGCTGCTGCAGCCTTACAAAGAGCCTGCACTGGGTACAGTGAGGACACAGTGCTCTGGCCGACACGCCACTTAGGAGCAGAGAGGGAAGCCAGGAAGCTGTATAAAAGCAGCTGAGGGTTGTGTGGGAGACGGGCAGGATTATGCATCGTACAGCTTGTGGGCCCTACAGCTCAGATACAAAATCCTGAGGGCAGAGACCATTGTGTGACTTATTTCTTTAGCTTCTGGCTCCCTTTTGTTCCTCCTGTAACGAGGATAGACTGGGAGCTGTTTGCCCTGAGCCAGGCCTCGTGGGCAGGGCAAGGAATCAGCTTTGAAGCTGGGAGGACAACAGCAGAGAGAGGCAGAAGGATCAGCCCCTGTTTTATCTGGGAAGCTGGGGTGCTGGGCAGAGGCCGGGATGGCTGCAGTAGCTGACAGGGAGGGAGATGACTGGCACACCTGCCAAGAGCTGGGTATTTACACGTGTACATGGCACTTTATCTGGAACTACAGGACATCCATTGCCCAGGGGCTGAAGCTGAACAGGGAAGCTGTGTCTACCATATGCTCTGCATGATGCTTTTGATCACTACATCTGGAGGATCTATAGCTAGGCTGCAAGGCAGCGTTATCCCCATGTCATGGATGGGCTGAGCCACACAGATGTAAAGTGATTTACCCAAGGCCAAACAATGAGTCAGTGGTAGAGCTGAGAATAAGAACCAAGAGTCCTGACCCCCCAGCACCATTGCTCTGGCCATGAACTGGAATTGCTCCTCTGGTACCAGTACAGCACCAGTAATCATAACTTGAGACACAAAGGCAAGACATGCACACGAACAGGATAATCATACCCAGCAGATCATAACTTTCCTATTGACACCTGACAGGACACACTTTGTTCAACATTTGTTGCAGCTGAATAACAGTGGCAGCAACAATGATAAAGATGGTCATTATTCAATCATACAGCATCACAGCATGTTCTTCTCCCACAATTTTGCTACAGTTGCTCGCCACCTGAGGAAGGGACATTCCCTGGATCTAGCAGGACAAGCAGCTGGGACACTGGAGCCACTGGAGGACGGGAAGAGCAGAGAAAAGCTTGTTTTGCTGCAGGGAGCCTGGTCCTTGTACAAATAGCTGAGGAAAGAGTCCTTTAAAAGTGGTTTCAGAGGAACAGCCGTGTTAGTCTGTATTCGCAAAAAGAAAAGGAGTACTTGTGGCACCTTAGAGACTAACCAATTTATTTGAGCATGAGCTTTCGTGAGCTACAGCTCACTTCATCAGATGTTTACCGTGGAAACTGCAGCAGACTTTATATACACACAGAGAATATGAAACAATATATTCTCTGTGTGTATATAAAGTCTGCTGCAGTTTCCACGGTAAACATCTGATGAAGTGAGCTGTAGCTCACGAAAGCTCATGCTCAAATAAATTGGTTAGTCTCTAAGGTGCCACAAGTACTCCTTTTCTTTTCTTTAAAAGTGGGAGGTGGACATCCGTGAACGTGAGTGTTTCCTCCAACCATAGCCAGCCAGCCCCCTTGACTTTGAACAACCTCAACTTGTGTTTGACTAAAGCATCTTCCAAAAAGGTGTCCAGGGCTAGATCCACAAAGGCACTTGTGTAAATACTGAATTTAGGCACTGCTGCCTTTCTCAAACCCCGGCTCATCTGCTGCCTGACCCTGCAGGAGCCTCAGGTTCTGGCAGTCACCTGCACAAAGCAGCCTGAATGCTGATGCTGCTCCACAGATAACAAGCTGCTCAGAGTCTTTGCTCGGGCCTCCGTTCCGGTGGCGTTCTCCAATGAGGTGTTCCCCCACCCATCTCCCCGTCAGGCCCAATCAGTTAGGCGTTCTCAGACCACAACTCCCCCATGGGGCCTTGCAGATCAGGATTGTGTGTGTGTGTTTGCATGTGTGTCCATAGGCGTGGTTGTGCCTGGTGTGACATTGCACCCCATAATGCTTTCTGGGAATATGCTTTTTAATGTATGTGTGACATAATTGGAATATGTTTTTTGCTATGTATGCCATGTAACATATCTCTGTAAAGGTTATGATCTACTAAATATATTCATCCTATTTGTATGCATGTATCGTTTTTTAATTCAAAATGATGAACATTGGCTATGTACTTGTTTAATTTTAAGTAACCTCAGTGAAGCAGTTGGTCAGCTTCCTGAGAAAAGACTATTTTCAGTAAGTGCCTGTCATAAATATAAAGGGAAGGGTAAACCCCTTTAAAATCCCTCCTGGCCAGAGGAAAAATCCTTTCACCTGTAAAGGGTTAAGAAGCTAAAGGTAACCTCACTGGCACCTGACCAAAAGGACCAATGAGGAGACAAGATACTTTCAAAAGCTGGGAGGAGGGAGAAAAACAAAAGGTCTGGGTCTGTCATTATGATGCTTTTGCCGGAGACAGAACAGGAATGGAGTCTTAGAACTTAGTAAGTAATCTAGCTAGATATGTGTTAGATTATGATTTCTTGAAATGGCTGAGAAAATAGCTGTGTTGAATAGAATGACTATTCCTGTCTGTGTGTCTTTTTTGTAACTTAAGGTTTTGCCTAGAGGGATTCTCTGTGTTTTGAATCTAATTACTCTGTAAAGTATTTACCATCCTGATTTTACAGAGATGATTCTCCTTTTACCTCTATTAAAAGTCTTCTTGTAAGGAAACTGAATGCTTTTTCATTGTTCTCAGATCCAAGGGTTTGGGTCTGTGGTCACCTATGCAAATTGGTGAGGATTTTTACCAAACCTTCCCCAGAAAGTGGGGTGCAAGGGTTGGGAGGATTTTGGGTGGAAAGACGTGTCCAAACTATGCTTTTTCAGGAACCCAGATAAAGTTTGGTGGTGGCAGTGGAAGTCCAGAGGCAAAAGGGTAAAATAGTTTGTACCTTGGGAAATTTTAACCTAAGCTGGTAAAAGTAAGCTTAGGAGGTGTTCATGCAGGTCCCCACATCTGTACCCTAGAGTTCAGAGTGGGGAAGGAACCTTGACAGTGCCCAATCAAGAAACACTTAAGCTTACTATGAACTGGGAGATGCCAATCCACATCTGAGCTTTCCCAGGAATGTGGCCTGGCTTGTTAGGAACCAAGTCATGCATGGACATGTGACTTGCCCATGTGACTCCAAAACTCGATCTTGGACTGAATTCTGGATAGGAGAGAGGAAGGGGTTTCCACCCACAAAAGAAAGTCTATTTAAGCCCCTGGGAGCCCCCTCCATTTGGTCTTCAGTTGGCTGAAGAGAGAGCCTCTCCATCTCCAAGGATACCTGAAAGAAACTGGAACAAAGAACAGTAGCCACGAGGGTGTGAGTGATCACTGGACCCAGACTAGAAGGAGACTAGTCTGTAAAATAATCTTATTGGAACATCTCTGAGGGTTAGATTTCATCTGTAATCACTTTCTTACTACATTAGGTTTACACTTGCATTTTTTATTTTATTTTGCTTGGAATTCACTTTGTTCTGTCTGTTATTACTTGGAACCACTTAAATCCTACTTTTTGTATTTAATAAAATCACATTTTACTTATTAATTAACCCAGAGTATGTATTAATACCTGCCGAGGGGTAGAGAGAACAGCTGCGCATATCCTTCTCTGAGTGTTACAGATGGTGAATAATTTATGAATTTACCCTGTATAAGTTTTATACAAGGTAAAATGGATTTATTTGGGGTTTGGACCCCATTGGGAGCTAGGCATCTGAGTGTTGGAGACAGGAACACTTCTTAAACAATTTTTCCCCAGATCCCTAAATGGCCCATCAAAGGATTGAACTCACAACCCTGGGTTTAGCAGGCCAATACTCAAACCACTGAGCTATCCTTCCCGCCATGGGTTTCTGTGATCCAACCCGTCACACCTGGGTATCTGTGTGTGTATGTGTGCATAGGTGTATGTGTGCGTGAGTGTGCACATGGGTCCATGTGAGTGCTTGCATGTGTGTGCACCCTCAGCTCGCAGTTTAGCACCCTCACCTGGAGTCTGTGAGACCCAGATTCAAATCCCTGCTCCTCTGAAGGTTTATTTGTACAAAGTGGAAGAGCTCCAGACAGACAGACTCAATGCCCCACACAGAATTGCCATTTGCCTGGTACTCAGGGCACTCATGTGGGACACGAGAGACATGTGTTTTAGTCCCTGGTCCAAATCAGGTAGAGCAGAGATTTTGAATCTGAGTCTCCCAACACTCTATCAGATCTGTCACTAGAAAGTGCTGACCTGTCCTGGGCACCTCGCTCCAGGAGAGGGATCACAGATGACAGTCCCATAAGGAAATATGCACCTCTCTCCAGCTCCTTAGCCAGGCCCCTACACACCCCAATTACTGGGCGTTAGGTGCTAGAGGACTGTGTATGGGCTTTGGAGACCAGAGTGGCTAAAGGGAGCTAAGGGAGACAGAGGGATACACAGATGATCTTTCCGGGACAGAGCAGAGTGGTCCCATCCCCAGTCTGACAGCCTCTGTGATTTTGAGGATGATGAAAGTCTCAAGGAAAAAGAATGTCAAACTAGAGCAGCTGGGACCCTGCTTCCAGATGATGTGATGGTCTC